GAATCTTTATTTGATTAATTTTGAGTCACTTGTAAGTTTTTATTTTAATAAAAACACAGCAAAACTAATCTTTATTGTGATCCCACCATATTTATACACAGCATTGCATCTATGCATATTAACTTCTCATTAGAATTATTGCATCAAGTTTTAAAAATGATAAATTAGAAAATCGAATTTTATGGATGTTAAAATTGAGTGAACAGTGGCATAAAAACTGGAGTCTTGAGTCTTGAGGAACAAAAGTAAAATAAAAGACAAGGAATGATTGGTTGGACTGTAAAAAATAGTTACAAGCTTTTATTTTTTTATACATCCATAAAAGTTATCAATCAGACTTTATTTTGATTTTAAAAGCTACAACCTTAAAAAAAAAAAAATTGCTGTAAAACACTTAAAACTCACATCCTTATTTTTGTAGCTGTAGGAAAAATTGCTGTAGGGGCTGTAGTTTCGTTTTTCTTTTTTTTTTGTAGTGTATTTTCGTTTTATTTGCCTTCCTTTTTTGCTTTTTTGCCTTTTTTACCTTCCTTTTTCTCTTTCTTTTTTATTTCTTACTTCTTCTATTTTCAAAAGAGTGTCATTTTGACACAAATTTTTTGTTAACAAAAAAGTGTCGTTTTAGGTTTCCAACACATATTTTAACATGTTTTTCCATTTTTAACCTCAATAAAAAATACTACTCCAAATAATATGAAAAGTCATTTTTAACACAAAATTCATGGAGTATTCACGTTCATTTTTTTATACTTCCAATGATGTTGACTCTCATCCTGTGTACATTAAATACTAACTCTATAAAAAGTCTCAACAGTTCCTTTTTCTTTTCTTTTTTTGTTATGAGCACAAATATGAGTAAAAGGTCTATAGAAATTATGGAGGAGGAAAAAAAATCGTGTTGAAACGTCAAAAACAAACGTAAAAAGTGGTTCATGCTTTTGATTTAAACAAACTACCCTGCGAAGAAGAAGAAATTCATTTCAATAAGGAGCTTGTCATGAATGATGTCGAAGCTAAAAAGGTGCATCCGTTCGATCTAAACAAATCTTTGGATGAAGAAGAGGAACTTCAGTGGGATAGAAGAAGTATGGTACTAGGGATGCTTAAGATTTTGGTTCCAGCATATTTCAAAATATGATGAATCCAAAGAGAAGGTGCTTCCAAATAAATCGTTTAAGATTAGTATGATCACCAATAAAATTGTATGACCAATATTGGTTTTTAATAAAAATTTGGTAAGAAATATTTCACATCATTGTTTTTGTCTTTGCTATTCGTCTTTAAACTAGTTTTTCCTTTCTGTGTTACGTTTGATACAATTATACTAAAGTATATATTTTCAGTACGTTTGTTGTGTGTGTTGACTATGATTGCAACCTTCGTATATAAGACAAACCTCCGTATAGGAGTAGAATAATTTATCAT